GAAATTCTGTGCACTACCCCATACTTCTTGAGCAAAGCCTGCATAGATCTGTTACAAAAATGGGTGCCTTGATTACTAACAATAGCTTTGGGTACTCCAAACCTGCAAAATAGGTGAGATCTAACAAAATCAACAACAACCCGAGCATCATTAGTTCTGGTGGGTTTGGCTTCCACCCATTTTGAAACATAATCAACAGCTAAAAGAATGTAGGAAAAACCAAAAGAAACAGGAAAGGGACCCATGAAATCAATACCCCAGACATCAAACACCTCACAGAATAGCATGGGCTGCTGAGGCATCTGCTGTCTCCATGTAAGGGATCCTCCTGCTCGCTGACACTGCTCACAAGTGCTACAAATAATAATATTTATTTCTTCAGTTCTATAATAAACTGTGTAGAAAAAAAAATTAAGATTTGATCTTAATTATAAGAAAGATATGACAAATCATTTAGATTAAAAAAATAATTAATATAATTATTTTTAATTAATTTTATTGTAAATTCAAAGTTTTGTTTTTTTAAATATACTATTTTTTATACATTATTATCATATTTAATGTTAATTGAAAGTGAATACATAACAAATATAATAAACGATAAATGATAGATTTAAAAGAAATTTATTCAAGTTTTATTGAACTGTCTTTTCTCCAAATTCATGTAAGTATACGCTTTAGCTTAACTTTAGCATAAGTATGCTCTAATGCTATGTCATATTTTATGCTCTAATAAGAATTTAAAATATTAATACTTTAGTACGATGAAATGCTCTAATTATAGTGTTTTGTATGATATGTTTATGCATGAACACATGTATTAAATTATATACTCTATAACGTTATGAATATGTTCAGCAAAAAAGAAAAATTCATATATATGGTAAATTTATTTAACTCAAATAATTCATAATTTATATTAAATTTTAATGTAAATTTTTTTATTATTAAAAAATTTTAATTTAACAGATAGATCGTTAAATTTTATATAGAACATGAGTTATTGAAATAAGTCTATCATGACTTACACCAAGAGTAAATCTAATTATACTTATTTTATTTCATAACTCATGTTTAATATCAAATTTTAATGATACAACCATTGAATTAAAAGTTTTTAATGCATAGATCAAATTTGAAAATTTTTACAATTTTTGAAAACTATTTAATACTTTATTTTATTAATTCAAAATCATATAAAATATTTTTATGATTATCCTTCAATTTGATTTAATGAAATTAAGTATTAAATAATTTTTAAAATTTTGCATTAAGAAATTTTAATTTAACAGTTGAATCATTAAAATTTAATGTAAAACATAGAATAAGTATAAGTAGACTTACTCTTTAAGTAAATGAATGTCTCCTTATATATATATATATATATATATATATATAGAGAGAGAGAGAGAGAGAGAGAGAGAAAGAGAGAGAGAAAGGATGTACTTACTCCAAAAATAAGTCTACCTAGACTTGCTAATCTATTCAATAACTAGAGTTCTACATCAAATTTCAATAATCCAATAGTTAAATTAAAAAATTTTAATACATATATCAAGTTTGCAAAGTTTTAAAAAATTTAAAAATTATTTGATACTATGTTTCTTTAATTAAA